AGAAGCTGTAACATTATGTGACCTCTCTCCATGTTTGGACGATAGGATGTGGCATTAAGGAAATAATCTAGGAGGATTGGAATAATCTTTATGTGTTGATATGCTGTTAAAATGTGTCTGAGTGAGCTCAGGGTTTGTTTTTTTAATAAATGAATGAAGTCGTTCAGGGAGGATGCTTGAGGTCAGAGAGGTAAAAATAGTGGTAGAGAAAACACTGTCTTGTTTCAATTCCCAAGTAACAGAATAGTGCCGCTGCTTGTGCATTATTGGTTGTTATTTGGTTGATGTGATATAAATATTCTGTGGCAGAACTGACTAATCCTCCAGCCCTTCTGTTGTGATCCAGATTAAATAAATGAAACTCAGAAGGATCATTTTCATATTAATATTTTACAGTATGTTAGACAATGTTCAGAATTGTCTGGAACATTTTCTATTTAAAGGGAATTCATCAAAAATTGAATATTTAAAACAAGTCTTTAAGCTTTGGCAGTTGCCTTTGGAATTAATTAAAGGCCACACACTTAAAGTGCAATCTGTCTGTAACAGCTGTGTTATACTCTAGCAATGAGCACAGGAAGCAGAACAGTTCAGTAAATCCACAAAGGGCTCAATTTCATAGCTTGTCGTGAAACTATCAGATTTAAATGTAGGTTATCCTTCTTCATGTCCTCCCAGAGAGGTTATGATGGGCTTAGCTGAAGAGTAAGAAGGAGGCACTGATGCCCACGCTTGAGAAATAATTTGGGAAATTGAATCAAAAGCTGGCTTTTTTCCTCTCATTTTTCAATAAAAGTGCAATAATGCTTCTGATTTAGCACTGGTGGTCACACAGGCTTATGTTCATTTCTAATGTATATGTTTGTTTATATAGCAGTAACTACAAGTTCATCTGCTAATGGCTCTTCAGCAAAAAAAAGAACAAAGAGCCTATTCAGTGTTTATCCGTCACTCAGAGTGACTGGAACCAGCTTGCAGAACTTGTGCTTTAGCAACTATTTCCAGCTTTGTGAGCTGATCTCTGTTCTTCCAGAGCATCTTGGTGACTAGATAGTTTAGAGCTATTCCTCATGAAGATCTTCCAGGTAAGAATCTACTAAGTTACTTTTAAGGAAATGTTTCTGGGTGAAAGAGGAAAAATAGTTTTAGGTCAAAGCTCTGACCAGAGCAGGATCTAGTTATAGTTACCGTCTGCTGGAATGAGGGGCTACTTGCTCTTTTATCTCTTTTCCAGTACAGATGCTCCAAAAAGTGAAGTGCTTTCTGTAAGACAGCAGTGTTGAGTTCAACTAAGGATCAAGGACTTCTACAATCTGTGCTGCTGGAGCAGTGTGATGCGGCGGGTCTTGAGTTCAAGCAAGGGTTGTGCATATGGGTGTTAGTTCTGCCGCTGGCACTTGTCTGTCTTGATCTATATTGGTCAGAGAGGAGTCTTCCATCTTAAAGGCAGGAGCACTAGTCAGAAAGCCAGTATTTCGGAGGTAAATTCCCAAGGCACGTGCCAATTTTACTGTAAGTGCTAGCTGGGAAGGCTGCATTAGCTAGAAGGAAGATTAGAGGGTTTTGTAAGTGGAACAGTATAATGATGACTCGTGATCCCTAGCAATTCCCAGATCAAAGACTGCCATCTCCATGTCTGTTTGGCCCTGTCACAACATAGTCAAGCTCCTTCTCTCAGATGATCATCATCTGCCTGTTTTATTTCTGGGTGTTTTAAGCTTTGAAACCGAGGAAGCTCCAGCCAGAGCTGCACAACAAGCTATCGTGTCATCTGCATGACGGTTAGGCAGAGGTACCAAAGCCGTTGTTTTTGTTAAGGGCTTCCTTGAATACAGTGTTCTCCAATAAAAGCTATTAAAATGCATCAAAGCTTGCAGGATGCACAGTGTTTTCTGTCCAGAAAACAGGTCTGTTGCATCTGGAGCAAGATCTGCTCTACTTACTGATGTAAACCGGAGGCGATTCGGTTACGATCCTGAGCTCCATCCTGGCAGTCTGCAAGCAGCTACTTGCTGACTTTAAATATATCCCTCATGACGCTTCAGAGATAACATCCCTTGTGTGATGAGGACCTCTGTCCAAGCCCACCACGCGCTGCTCCTCCAGCTTAGCAGGAGACCATGCAAGGGCAGTCGAGGGCTGTTTGTGCTCTGGGTGAAGCAGAGTGCACTAGGAGCACGGAGAGCAGAGAACACTAAACGTCTATTATCAGTGCAAACAAAAGCCCTAGTGTGTGCACGTAACCTAAACATAGCTGGGGCTGCCGTGATGTGAATCAGTGCCTGTATGCTCGGAGGAGGGCAAGCTGCCAACGGAGTGCCGAAATTCCTGCGTGTGGGTGTATCCTGACCGTGCTACCTACTTACCTACAACAAATGTGTGAAATGGAGCTTTTCCAGAGCTTCACAAAGCCTGTATTTAATAACCGATTGTATTTGTAATACCTTCCATCCGCTGGATTTCACAAGTATACTAATCCTCTCAACTGCCCTTTTGGTAGGGCAAAGATGCCTGTGTTTTACTGACAAAGGAACTGGAAGGGAGGCTGTTGCGCTTTTCTACACTAGTAGTGGTGTAAGAGAAGGATCTGGAGTCTAGCACTTACTCTGCTACTCCATGGCTACTTGTCCATGTCCTCTCCATGGACTACAAGTCCATGTCTTCTGCACACTGTGTGCTGGGTGTTGCACAGGGTAAGTGGAAGACACAGTTGTGTGGTGAGGAGTTCCCAATGGAGAGTCCTGCAGTGAAAGCCTTCTCTTGAAATGCTGCAGACCTGCTTTCCATCTCTGTGCCCTGAGGCACTTCTGAGCTAATTGCACTTGGAGCTCACTAAGAAGACCCAAGAGGGATGAGGCTGTAGGATGGAGCTGACAGTAGCTTTAGCTACCACGTAGGCACCACCCTTGAGGAGCTGGGTTGTTGAAAGGAGCGCAGTGGGTCCCAGGGCTGTTCTGGAGGATGCTGTGTGCACAGGAGCTCTGTCGGACCCCTGGCCCACATTAGTGTCTGTGTGTAGCTCTGCTACCCCAGCTGCTTCATGGTGGGGACAGAGGGCAGGACTTGATTCCGCTTGCCCTTGAAGCAGCACATGCACTTCTCTGCTCAGGTAAGGGGCTTTCACTAGCAGGTTAGGGGCACTTGCAGCTGGGCTGTGGGGATTTAGTAATTGAAATGTCACAGATACTTCTCACCACATTTCTAGCTTGCAGTGGGACACTCCGTGCTGTTCAGGACAGCTGTTCCCAGCTTAGGTGGATCCCCAGCCACTTCTGAGACCAGCTGGTCCAAAGCTGGTCTGGAGAGGAGCAAAGCAGGAAACATCCACCCCATTAGACTCTGCCTGTGCTTTTGAGGCACAGGATGGGAAAGGAGTGGAGCCTTTTACAGCATGGGGGGAGATGGGTGGCAGGAAGCATCCTTATCCCCCAGTGAGCACAGCATCTTGTCCAGGCCTGCTGCTGTGCCCAAAAGGAGCTGGGCTCACAGGGAGCAGCTTGTCGGAGCACGCGGATGATGGGGGGTGGCTCCAGTGCAATGGCTGGATGCAGCTCTGCTCAATGACTGGGGCCTTGTAACATCAGGGCAGAGCACTCCTGCTTGAGGTGGCCCTTGTTCAGTGGCAGCAATGGCATGGCAAGGTCTCACCTGAAACGCTATGCAAGCCCTTAGACCCAAAGGAAGACATCAACAGCCAAAGCAGGACAAGAAAGAACAAAGAAGAGTATTAATTAAGCACAGTGAATTCTTGAAATATTAATTTTATGCTATATCAAATGCAGACCAGAGGGGATGTTTGTTTTCTGTAAGCGAGAGCCTGCCTACGATTTATTTAAACAATAGTTCTGCAGGGTGTGTTTGTCTTGGACAGCAGTGTGTTTGTTTTACTGTGGTGTTCCCCATTAACAATGCATACAACGAGCTGTGGGATGTGGGCCTGTCTTGGAGTACTTGCACTATAGCATCACATGAAAGAGTTGGAGAGGAGTCTGGTTAAACGTGGCTCACTCCTGAAGGCACAAGAATGGTAGTGGATTTAAGCTGCAGTGTTTGAAGCAACCCTTTATTGCAGTGTAGATGGGACCTTCCTCCTCAAGTTGCATCCCTGGACAGATGAATCTATTTTGGTATTGTTTCTTCTGCAAATTTAGTCCAGGTCTTACACTGAGGAGATGAAGAGCAGCTTCCACTAGTACCTCCCAGCAGAGTCTGGGGGTTCTGGATACCTCTCCAGCTCCTCCTGGAGATACTGTGCCTGTCACCTTGGTGCCAAGGTGACTGAGTGAAGCCTCTGATACCCCTGTAGGCTTCTTTCTGCGGGTGTTGCTAGGGATGTCCTGTTTTGGCTCTTAGAGTTTATTCTCTGCTGGAGAAGTAGCTTTCTTTATAGTTTATCTATGCTCTCTAGCTTTCTTTATACTTATCTGTGTCGTCTTTGCCTATCTCTCATAATAAGAATAGTATTGAAGGAGTTTGATATATGTTAATCTTCACTCCCACTTTCAGAGGAGTTATAACAGCTCTTTTTTGTTGTTTTTCCTCTTGCAGAGTGTTTACCATGCCTCTAGGAACATCCTTCCTTCCTGTTCTTTGTTTCTTGGGAGCAGCAATTCCAAGGGGACTGCAATATGTCACGTTCTCACGCAACACTACAAAATTCCTCCACTTGTCTATGGACTCGGACTCTGGGACTATTTATTTGGGGGCCACCAACTTTCTTTTCCAGTTGACCTCCGACCTGCTGATGAAGAATGTGGTTCAGACGGGGCCAGTTCTGGACAGTAAAGATTGCCTCCCTCCGGTCTCCAAGCTGGAGTGTCCTCAAGCACACTACACCGACAATCACAACAAGCTGCTGCTGGTGAACGCGGCGCAGGAGGAGCTCATCGTGTGCGGCAGCGTGCACCAGGGCATCTGCGAGAAGAGGAGCCTCGCCTCCATTGACCACGTTCTCTTCCGGCCAGAAAGCCCTGGTGACACTCAGTATGTGGCTGCCAACGACCCCAATATCACCACCGTGGGCCTCGTAGCCTACTCCAAGGACGAGGTCCCTTTGCTGTTTGTGGGACGAGGGTACACCAGCCGAGGAGTTGGAGGAGGGATCCCTCCCATCACCACACGAAATCTGCGGGCCCTGGGAGGGGATATTCAAGCGACCGACTCGCACTCCATCTTCTCCTACGAAGAAACAGCAAAGCTGGCCGTGGGCCGGCTCTCGGAGTACAACCACCACTTCATTAAATCCTTCACTTACCGCTCGAGCGTCTATTTCCTGTTCTACCGGCGGGACCTCAAGTCCCAGTCGCGCGAGTACAAGACTTACATCTCGCGCATCTGCCTCGACGACTCGCATTATTACTCCTACGTGGAGCTGCCTCTGCTCTGCCAGAGCAAAGCCAACACGTACAGCCTCCTGCAGGCAGCCTATGTCACCCGGCCGGGGAAAGACCTGGCCCGAGGGCAGTTTGGCACCGAGGGAGAGGTGCTGTTCGCTGCCTTCTCTGCCTGGCAGGCTTCTTCTGGCAAGCTGAGCGAGGAGTCTGCGCTCTGCGTCTACGCCATGGAGGAGGTGGATCGCCTGACCAACTGGACTAGGGATGTTTGCTACATGAGGGATGGGAGGTCGGAAGAAGGGACGGAGGTGGCTTATATTGAATACGATGTCAGTTCCAACTGTGTCCAGCTGCCCGCGGTGAGTCTGTAACCCCTTTGCCCTGGCAAAGGGGAATCTGTAGCGTGTTCTTGTGCTGCTTTGTGTTCCCGGGATGAGCTTGTTTCCCACAGACGTGTGATGAAATCTGCTGGTGCTGGAGAGTCTCTGGGTTCAGGGTGATTCTCAGCCACTGCAACAAAGCCATGCAAGAACTGATGCCTCCCGCTTAAGTATAGTGTGTCCCGTTGCTCCTGCAGCTCTCTGTCCTGCCTGGGCACATTGACTGCGCGAGGGCAGTGCGCTGCATGTGGCTCTGGGGAAGGGCACCTGGTGTGGCCTGACCTGCAGGAGCAGGCAGGAGCCCTGCTGCTGCCGTTTAAGTTGTTCCTGATCCATGTGCCTGAATTCAAGGTGTGCCTGGTCTCCCTCCCTCACAGGGGAGTCTCACCTCACAGCAGGACACCCAGAACTGAAAGCAGAGCGTAAGCAGAAGCAAGTGTGTCAGCCAAATCCCATTCCCTCAGACTGTACTTGTGCCCAAAGACAATTTGTTCCTGACCTGGCTCTTCTTTGTCTCCGGAGCTATAAGCAGTGATAATCCCCTTTATAGGCAGAAACTTGATTTCTACGGCAGAGGCATGGTGGGATGGTGCAGGCTAGAAAGGTGAGCTGAGGTAGCTGCCACCCCGAGCAGTTGGCTGGTGCTGCGATATCGGGGACAGTGACACTAACACGGAGCAGCCGAGGGCAGTGCTGGGGGCCATGTCCCAGCAGGAGACTGTTGCTGTGAGTAGCTTGTTTGCACGTCGGGTCTCACTAGTCCTTAGCAGAACAGCGTGTTACCATGTGCCTGCTTTTTACAGACCAGGCTGTGCAGATCCTTCCCAACTTAGTGCCACAAATAATGAAGTGGTACCACAGAGCTTCGGAAATCTCTAGAATAGGATGTGTGGTCAAAAAGCAGTTTTAAAATTGCCTTTTTTTTTTTTCTTTGCAGTAGCTAGAGCTCAGCGTAGACCACTTGTGGGAAAACCCAAGGGTAAAGGAGCAGACTTGGAGCAGGAAGAATGTCAGGTCAGGAGGAACATAAAAGTTTTGGAAAGCAAGAGGCAGGTTTATGTCCTACCTGGAGTGTCTTCCTGTTCCTCGTGTCCTCTGTTGGGACAGCATGGAAGGAATTGGCAGAGGTGGCTTTGGTTTGACACTGATCTCCCTCAGGTTGTCCTAGCCTACAAGATCCATCCTTCAAAGTGGAGAGTCCCGCTATGGTTTGATCTGGGGTGCAGCAGGTGGAAGAAAAAGGCCGCTCTTTGCCGTGTGAGCCGTGGTGCCCTGTTCCAGGGTGCAAGCTGCGCGGTCTGGCGCTCCGTGGGCTCATTAAACTGTGGCACCTTATTAACAAGTGTGTCCAGTGAGATGCAAATGGCCCTGCAAACTTCATCCTTGGCCATTCAGTACATGGTAGCGGTTGTCGCTAAGATTGTCCCCAACAGCACGGAGAGGCCTGTGCCAGCCCTGGCCGGCTCCTTTCAGCCCGCGTGGAAGCAGCTCTCAATGAACGTTTTATGCAGGAGCAGTTTTCACGCCCGGTTCAATGGTGGCAGCTTGTGCTTTTCTCTAGTGCGGCGCTGATGAATTTCCCGCTTTTCTGCCTCCAAAGCAGCCTGTGCACAAGGTACAGCCTTTTCCCTGGTTAGCACTCGCTGCTATTTTTAGCTTGTCGGGAAGGACTGACGTTGGGTTTTACCCTTCAGTACAGTTTCAACTAGGAGGAGCACGCGGTTTTATGTGGGTCTCAGGGCTGGTTCACTTGTTCTAGAGCGTTGGAAGCATACAGATTTTTCCATAGGTCTTGGGTTGCAGGAGACTGTGTAGATGCTGTTAGTGTCTTGATAATTAAAAATATGAAAAGGGTTTTTGCAAGGCTTTAGAATTGTTTTTATCTTCTCAGGATATAGTTTCCCAAACACACGACTTGCACTTTTGCACCAAGCTCCCAGTCCTCTTGTATAGACATAGATTTATCTTTCTGGATGCTGTCCCTGTCATTGCCTCTGTGAGCTGTAGGAAGAGCACAGCAGGATCCGTGCCAGGAGCTGCAGCCCCCAAGCTGGCTGCATCGCAGGAGGACACAGGACGATCCCCTCCACCTCACTGCCAAGATATTTTTCCCTGACAACTGTTCAGATGGTTTATATATGGATTTACATAAACACATTATACAATTATTGTGGCTTAATCCTGTGAAACAGAACAAATTTCATCCTTGATTGTGGTTAACTGCTCTGCAAACAGTCCCTGTGAGCTGTACGGCTGCTGGGAAACCTTGCACCAGTCACTCTGTCATAGGGTCCCTAGATTTGGGTGTGAAGTGACTTGCCCTTGGCGTTGTACATAGACAACAACAGTTCTGAGCACATTTGGGACACAAGTATTCCCACTCTGTATTCATTTTTAAGCAAATTTTGAAAAATTGGCCTCAGAACTGAAGTTCCTAGGCACCGGTGTTTGTGTGATCAATAAAAGGTTGCAAAAGATGGTTACGGCCCCGCTCAAAGTAAGGGTTTGGGGGGTTTTGAATATGAAATTTTGCCAGTAACTCATTTGCCATTAAAATTCGTAGGAGCTGGACAAGTGGAGAAATAGAAATCTTTAGCTGACCAAGCCCAGAGGAGGTTGTGGGAAGCATGAGAATGAAGTGAAAAGAGCTGATAAGGAAAACAGCACTCGTTCTCAGTGACAGACTTTCCAGGTCGGAGGAGGGCAGAGCCCTAGCAGCTGCTAAAAGTATATCCTGCTCTGAGACATTAATTTGGAGCCTTACACTAGTACATAGCAAATCAGCTGAATTAGTGTTTGCAAGGAAAGCAAAACACCAGAATGAAATACATTATATTCTAGCATGGTTTCTCTAGTGGAAATATCGTGCCACCCCCTCTTTGCCTGCCACAATAGCAATGAATTTGAGGAGGGAGGTGAGCAGGTTAAATATATTTTACCATGGGATTTTCATAGACTTTGTCAAAAGTAATTAGTTTCTCCAACAGGCCGCTGTGTGGGAGAACAGAAAAATGGCAGGAGAGCAGGGAAAAGGCTGGGGAGTTGCACCGGGGTGGCGAGGGGAGCAGGGAGATGCCTCGGGAATCCCGTGCTGGGGGTGTCGATGCCGAGGGAGGACGGGCTGCCTGGTACTCACGGGTACCGCGCGGCTCCGTGCTGGCAAACGGGACGTCGGGATGTCACATGGAATGAGTCCCTGCTCGGAGAGTCTCGATTTAACCCCCTCGCCCCGGGGCGGAAGGGGAGCCTGGGGTGGCGAGGGGAGCAGGGAGATGCCTCGGGAATCCCGTGCTGGGGGTGTCGATGCCGAGGGAGGACGGGCTGCCTGGTACTCACGGGTACCGCGCGGCTCCGTGCTGGCAAACGGGACGTCGGGATGTCACATGGAATGAGTCCCTGCTCGGAGAGTCTCGATTTAACCCCCTCGCCCCGGGGCGGAAGGGGAGCTGCAGCCCATGCAAACTGCTCGGTTGATGCCCTGCTCCCCGCACAGCTGCATCGAGTAATCAGGAAACACCCGGAGAGGAGGGTGAAAATGCTGCCCGTAAGGAATTCAGTGCTGGAAAATCATTAGTTTGTACAAACAGCACTGCCTGAAGACAAGCCATTAATTGATAAAAATGTTGTTGGTAATTGTTGAATGAACAATACCACATTCAGTCTCCAAAAGGGTACTGGAAAATTAGATTGGATACAGAACAAAGTATCAAGAAAGACTCTAAAGCAATGGAGAAATTATTCTAGACAGGATTGGGTTTGTTATTTGGGGTGAGGGGAAATAGGGAATAGGAACATAATGAAATATCTTCTCTTCACACATGCAAATAGTAAATCACTTGGCAGCTTTTATTCTCTTTCCTTTACAATTCAGTAAGTGAATATTCGGTGGGATTGGAAGGTATCTAACTGGAACAGAAAGATAAGTGTTTTCACGCAGTGCTTTGTACACTATGGAATTAATTTTCAGATATGTAACAAAGCTCTGAAGAATTGAGGTGATGTGCAGAAAAGACTCTTGTTTTGGCTTTTTTGTGGCCTCGCTATGGATCTATGCACTCTGATTTTTTTTTTTTTTTTCATTAGGTGCTTATACATGTGCCAATGCTTAGGCTTTCTACTTTAGAATTCATATGTGTAGTCAATCTGATACAGTGCAACGTAAACATGGCTAATTGTTGGTGGTGCTTGGGACCAGGTAGCTGGTTTCATTTTGCTGTGAAATCAGGAATTCTGGTCTCCTTTTTTTGCTTTGTTTGTTCGTTCGTTCTGAAAAACAGAGGGAATTTTCCCTCAACCCATCATTGGGGGACTGATAGTTTAACAGAGTTTAGATGCATTTCATTACTGATGCATCTGTTATGCTAAAAGGAATTGGCTGAAATGTCCGCAGGGTCCCTTAAAAAGCTGCAAGCAGTGAACATAGCTAATTATTAAAAGCTGGTTTCTATTCTCAGTCAAAAACCCCAGAGGGGTTCAAAGCTGGATTTACTGTTTAGGCACCTCTGAGGAATTTGGTTGGAAGAAGCTGGTCATGAAGGTTGAAGATGCTAATGTTACTTGTATCTGCTTTTGTTCTACTGCTCTCTGTGCTTTTCCCTCCCCAAGGACACCCTGTACGCCTACCCCTGCGGCTCTGACCACACTCCCAGCCCCATGGCCAGCCGGATACCTTTGGAAGCAGCTCCCCTCCTGGAGAAGACAGAAGCCCGTCTGACCGCTGTGGCAGTGAATGTGGAAGATGGCCACACTATTGCTTTTCTGGGAGACAGCAAAGGGAGACTGCACAAGGTATGAGCAGGATGCAACAAGAAACAGAGGGCAAAGCAAAGCAGGGATGCTCAGGTGACAGAGGAAAAAAAAAAAGCAAGTTCTCTTGCCCCTCAATCCCTTAAGCAATTAGGTTCCTACTAAACATAATTGCTATCAGATGGCCTCTTCTCATGCTGTCTGTGCTGTCCATTGAGAACATGAATGCTCCAAGCACTTGTCATGCTGCCTTGCCACTGAACCCGAGTCAGGACTGCTGTGTCCTCCAGTGCTTCTGCATGTACTGCTGAACACCTGCTGCACATCCCTGAAGCCGTTGCAGGGGGATTTGGAGGGGAGGTGGAAACCCTTGCACACAGCAGCAGTTCCAAGCTGCTCCCTATGCAGGACAGATCCCTCCTGCTCCTGCATAGCCGTGTGTCTCCGTCTCTCGCAGGCGTACTTGGGAGCGATGGGGGACACCAGGATATACTCTTCCTTAGCTATCCAGGTAAACAGCATGGTGAGTGGAGACCTGCTGTTCGACCAGTTGCAGAAGCACCTCTTCGTCATGACCCAGTCAATGGTAAGAGCCATAAAATATTTTACAGCAAAGTGAAAGCATTTGTGGCCCCGTTTACCTGCTGAAGGGGATAGAAGAGGCAGAGCACAAATACTATTCTTAATCAGATAAAAGATTAAGCTTTTCTTCTGTAGGCACATGACCTATGTAAAGAAGAAATGTGTGGGAAGTATCCTCTGTTAAGAGGTAACACCAGGTAAATAACAGTCTTGAAGATGACATCAAGATGTATAAGGAACCGTGTTAGATACTGTTCTGTCTTCTCCTGCCTTACGCTGTTCTCTCTCTAGTGGCAGCAGGAAGAAGAGGCATGAGGCTTGCTGAAACTTTGGGGATACTGACATCTTTAGAGTGGAAAATCCAACTATAGATACCTTATTTAAGAGGATTTATGTAACACTCAAATCAGCTTCTTGAGGCAGAAAGAAAAGCAGGCCCCGAGTTACTCCATGTCTGAAGGAAAGGGCAAACTTCAAATGAGAGCGTACCAGAAAAGGGCTGCTTCCTTTCATCCCCCTATGTGCGTTTTGTGGGATTCAGAAATTCTGTAACACTTCAAAGGAGGAGTTAAAATCTCTGAGTAGAAGAAGATTAGGGAAATCTGAAATATATCCTTAAGAGTAATTGTTCTGTCAGTAAAGAATGCAAATAACAAGATGTATTTAGCAAAAGTATTGGGTTAGGGATTAGAAGACGATGATTTAAAGTAACTGGCAGTGTAGTAGGTGATTAAAGAGGGGGCAAGAAGCTGAAATCAGTAAGGTAGGGGGGATAATAAAGCAAAGCAGAGGTGCTCTGCAGGTCAGACTTACCCCGGATGGATGGCAGGAGTTTATTTTTCCACAGTGATCAAAGCCCGTTGCTCTAATTTCAGTCAAATGGTAGTTCTGCCTGTTAGAGTTGGGCAACAGAGCAGATGGATTCAGAGGCTTCAGCTGGAACTACTGTGTCCAGCATCGGTTGCCTGCATGTCAAGAGAGACGATGAGCCGTGTCGGAGTCCAGACTAGCAAGAGTGAATGGTGGAAGAATGAAAAACAGGGAAAACTGAAAGTAGTAGTATTGCTAAATCTAAGGGAGAAGGCAGGGAAAAGAGGGAGGCAAGCAATAACTGAGGAAAGGAAGGAAGTAACCCCTTCTCCATCATGCTAGTGAGTACGATATGGAGTCATGGGTTCAGGTGGCAAGTAGGGAGGTTTAGACAAAGAAATAAGGAAGAACTGCAAGTGAGGGGGATGGTTGTAGCAATGCCTTTGCTTTAGGCTTGCTTCAGTGCCTCTTTGGAAACTGATGTTTTAGTGCTTATTCCTTTTTTCTTTAGTTTTAAGTAGTATTGAGAATTAACACAAAGTCAGGGCAATAGAACTTGTTAGCTGGGCAGAAGTCATAAAACTGGAACATGCTTTTCATGCTCTTCTCACTGCTTTCTGACAGGTGGTGAAGGTTCCCATATTGGAGTGTTCCCTGTACTCGGACTGTGAATCCTGTCTGAAACTGAAAGATCCTTACTGTGGCTGGTGTGTCCTTCAGGGACGGTAAGAGATATGCCTGGTCAAGGTTTTTGAAGGGATGGTGCCTAGGGAATATGTCTACTTACTCTCTTTCATTTCTATATCTGTGTTTCTCTGTGTGTCTGATTGCCTGGATTTGATCTATGTTTAGCTTCTTTACATGTGTTTGGCCTACAGATTCACACTCTCTCCTATCTACCTCCCTAAGCATCACTACCACCAGCCATGGTTGCACTTCTCTTTCCAGCACGCAGAGTATCTTTCTCTTGCTTTTTGGGACTTTATTTACCACTCATCATGTTCCCCTGCAGTGGATTTCTACCTATTTTGTCTGGCTGCAGCTTGAGAGCTGCCTCATTTCAAATACAGAGGAACTATCGTTGCTCTTTAACTGATGTCACTTTCTTGCTCACAGTTGCTACTTAATAAGACATGTTTTATTTGAGTGTATCTGTCTGCTTGCTGACTCCTTCTCCCAGTAGGATGCTCTAGGAATAGTTTATGGCCCTGGAAGCCCAGTGAGTGCCTACTCATCTGTCTATACTGGCATCAGTTCATCCTGTTATGGATGGTGATGGGAGACTGGAACTTCTGTGGCTTGTGTGTGGGGCGCCCTGACCCTCCAGGAAGGTTTCTGAAAGCCAGGATCTACTTAAGAGCTGAAGAATGGGTCCCCTGTTTAGGAGCCCTCCCGTAAAGCTTCTTGCTGTTTCTGTGCAGGTGCAGCCGTCGCTCCGAATGCCTGCGATCCAGATGGAGCGAGCAGTGGCTCTGGAGCTTTAACTCTACACAGCAGTGCCTGTCCATCCAATCGCTAACTCCAGCCAATATCAGCAGAGAGGAAAAGAGAAATGTGAGCAATGATGATCCTTTATGGTCGTGCTCAAGCAAATAGAAGGTCCCCTGAGAGCTCTGAGGGCTCACAAGTCCTCCTGTTGCTTTCAGTGGTGTATTGAATCACTAAACTTTTGAGCACATTTGCCTGTCTCGCATTAGGACTTCACATGATCTAGCGCAGGAGAAATTTTCACCATCATTCGTCTAAACCTACAAGTCTCTGTCTGCAAATAGGCAGTTATTAAGTATTTTGCACTATTTGGCTGCTTGGATGGGATCTCTCCTTGGCTAGGTGTGCATAAAGTGCTCTTCTCTGAGGAGTCAGAGTATTTCTGACACTCAGAAATACCTGAAAGAAGCTACCTCAGGTTACAGCTTCAGTCTGGTAATGGAGAGCTGGTAGAAAAGCTAATAGGATGCTGCAGTATTCCTGTCAGTGTCAGGGGTGATCAGAACCTGCCTTCATTTGGATACTTGAGCAAAGGGGGAGTTTTTGCTGATAAATGAGAGAATATAGTTTGTGAATGGCAAGACATGATGAATGGAGTAGCCCAACCTAAGAGGCACGACAGAAAACTATACTACTAGAAAGTAGAACATAAATTATATGAAATAAGAATGTTAGGGCGCGAATAACTTATTGGACACTGTTGAATTGGTAGATCTTCCTGGCTATCTCGGATTTACCATCTCTGCACGAGGAAGAATTTTATTCCTGCTATTTTGAAGATTATGAAAGCCCAGCAGTTCTGACAGAGTCGGGAATCATGTGCCCCTCACCAGATCCCAGCCAAGCACCAGCTTTGCCAACCGGAGCAGGTCAGTGAAATGCTTTAAATGGAGTGTGATAGTTCTGATAACATTGTCGAGGGAAAGAACATTTCAGATCTATCAGATTGCCAGGCTTAATAGTCATGAATGTACATGGTCTATCAGCAGGTGCTCATTTCATTCTGTCATGTGTTTGCTTTCTACTTATGTCACACACATCCTGTGCTATTCTGGGCTGCTGCCAGATTCCAGTGCCAAATTCTGGTAGCTGGAAAGGAGGTTCTGCTTGAAGGGTTATACACAAATCTGAATATGATCTGAAATGCAGTTCAAAGTGGTGGTTGGTTTGGCAGCCTTGTCAAAAATCTGGATATAGGACTCTTGTGCACGTGCTCACGCACGCGTGTTCTTTCTCTCTCTCTCTCTCTCTCTCTCTCTTTTTTTTTTATTTTAAGAATGAGATAGTGTTTAAAACCTAACAAAACACAAATGTTTTCAAACCCCACGTGTTAGTGGAACAAGGAAGTACTTG